GCTGCCCGCGCTGCTGCTCCTGGCCGCCGCCCTGCCCGCCCTGCCCGCCGCCTCCCGGGAGCCGCTGGTCCCCGGTGGGACCAGCGCTTTCGACCCCGGGCCCAGCAAGACCGACATGCTGGACGCAGCGCGCACGGCCCGGGAGCTGCGGGAGCTGTTGGCCATGAGTCCAGATGCGCGCCTGGGGGGACAGCGGCGCGGGCCAGTCGCGGGGCCCCAGAGTTGTGTGCGTCTGGGCGGTCACCCACTGCCTTTGCCGCTGCTCCTAGCCGCGTGCAGCGCCGGGACGGCACGGAGCCTCTGTCTGAGGGCGCGCGCGCTCGGTCCCGTCTGCGGACAGGCTCCAGGCGGGGAGCTGCGCGCGCGGGCCCTGCGCTCAGTGCCCGGCCCCGTTTCTGCGCGCTGCTGCCGGAGCCACAGCAGGGCCCTCACCGCCTTTCTGCCCCACCGCTGCTTGTGCCACCCTGTCTGCCGGCGTCTGATGTGCGCCCTGGGCCGCTCGGCCAACTCCGTCCAGGCGGCGCTGACGCTAGGGGGGGTCGCGGGGAAGCTCTCCAGGTCTCGGCAGCCGCCAAGCCTTTCCGGGGTAGGATCAGGCACCGCGCGGCGGTCCCGAAGGGGAGCGGGCGGTAGCTCGAGCCCGCAGTTCCAACTACCCAGCTACCAGGTGTCGGTGCCTGAGAACGAGCCGGCGGGCACGGCGGTCATTGAACTGCAAGCGCACGACCCGGACGAGGGCGAAGCCGGGCGCCTGAGCTACCAGATGGAGGCACTGTTTGACGAACGCTCCAATGGCTACTTCCTCATCGACGCCGCCACCGGCGCGGTGAGTACTGCCCGCGCGCTGGACCGCGAGACCAAGGACACGCACGTGCTCAAAGTGAGCGCCGTGGATCACGGCTCGCCGCGCCGCTCGGCTGCCACCTACCTCACCGTCACAGTCAGCGACACCAATGACCACAGCCCCATCTTTGAGCAGTCCGAGTACCGCGAGCGTGTGCGCGAGAACCTCGAAGTGGGCTACGAGGTGCTGACCATCCGCGCCACCGATGGCGACGCGCCCTCCAATGCCAATATGCGCTACCGCCTGCTGGAGGGGACAGGCGGCGTCTTTGAGATCGACCCGCGCTCCGGTGTGGTGCGCACTCGGGCCCCGGTGGACAGGGAGGAGGCGGCCAAGTACCAGCTACTGGTGGAGGCCAATGACCAGGGCCGCAACCCGGGGCCACTCAGTGCCACGGCCACCGTCCACATCGCTGTGGAGGACGAAAACGACAACTACCCGCAGTTCAGCGAGAAGCGCTATGTGGTCCAGGTGCCTGAGGACGTGGCCGTCAACACTCCGGTGCTGCGCGTGCAGGCCACAGACCAGGACCAGGGTCAGAACGCCGCCATCCACTACAGCATTGTCAGCGGGAACCTGAAAGGACAGTTTTACCTGCATTCCCTGAGCGGAAGTTTAGATGTAATCAACCCACTGGACTTCGAGGCCATCCGCGAGTACACCCTACGCATCAAGGCCCAGGATGGCGGCCGGCCTCCTCTCATCAACTCCTCAGGACTGGTGGCCGTACAGGTGCTGGACGTGAACGACAACGCACCCATCTTTGTGAGCAGCCCCTTCCAGGCGGCGGTGCTGGAAAACGTTCCCCTGGGCTACTCCGTGCTGCACATCCAGGCGGTAGATGCTGACGCTGGAGAAAATGCCCGGCTGCACTACCGCCTGGTGGACACAGCCGGGGCTGGAGGCGCTGGGGGCACTGGACCCGAGGATTCTGCTCGGGGCCCAGATTTCCCCTTCCAGATTCACAACAGCAGCGGGTGGATCACGGTGTGCTCAGAGCTGGACCGAGAGGAGGTGGAGTACTACAGCTTTGGTGTGGAGGCCGTGGACCATGGCTGGCCACCCATGAGTTCCTCGGCCAGTGTGTCCATCACGGTGCTGGACGTCAATGACAATGACCCGGTGTTCACGCAGCCGGTGTATGAGCTCCGCCTGAATGAGGATGCGGCAGTGGGTAGCAGTGTGCTGACCTTACAGGCCCGAGACCGGGATGCCCACAGTGTGATCACCTACCAGCTTACGGGAGGCAACACGCGGAACCGCTTTGCCCTGAGCAGTCAGAGCGGCGGCGGCCTCATCACGCTGGCCCTGCCGCTGGATTACAAGCAGGAGCGTCAGTACGTGCTGGCAGTGACGGCGTCTGACGGGACCCGCTCGCACACTGCGCAGGTCTTCATCAACGTCACGGACGCCAACACCCACCGACCCGTCTTCCAGAGCTCCCACTACACGGTCAGCGTCAGCGAGGACCGACCTGTGGGCACTTCCATCGCCACCATCAGCGCCACGGATGAGGACACCGGGGAGAATGCTCGCATCACCTATGTGCTGGCAGACCCAGTGCCTCAGTTCCGCATCCATCCCGACACCGGCACCATCTACACCATGACCGAGCTGGACTATGAGGACCAGGCTGCCTATACACTGGCCATCACTGCTCGGGACAATGGTATCCCCCAGAAGTCAGACACCACCTCCCTGGAGATCCTCATACTTGATGCCAATGACAACGCCCCCCGCTTCTTGCGTGACTTCTACCAGGGTTCCGTCTTTGAGGATGCACCTCCGTCAACCAGCGTGCTGCAGGTCTCTGCCACCGATCGGGACTCGGGCCCCAATGGCCGGCTCCTTTACACCTTCCAGGGTGGGGACGACGGTGACGGGGACTTCTACATCGAGCCCACCTCTGGTGTCATCCGTACCCAGCGCCGGCTGGACCGGGAGAATGTGGCCGTGTATAGCCTGCGGGCGCTGGCTGTAGACCGGGGCAGCCCATCACTGAGTGCCTCGGTGGAGATCCAGGTGAGCGTGCTGGACATCAATGACAACCCTCCTGTGTTTGAAAGGGACGAGCTAGAGCTCTTTGTGGAGGAGAACAGCCCGGTGGGATCTGTGGTGGCGAGGATCCGTGCCAATGACCCTGACGAAGGTCCCAATGCCCAGATCATGTATCAGATCGTGGAAGGCAACGTGCCTGAAGTCTTCCAGCTGGATCTGCTCAGCGGGGACCTGCGTGCCCTGGTTGAGCTGGACTTTGAGGTCCGGCAGGACTACATACTGGTGGTCCAGGCTACGTCGGCCCCTTTGGTGAGCCGGGCCACAGTGCACGTCCGCCTGCTGGACCAGAATGACAATCCACCCGTGCTGCCTGACTTTCAGATCCTCTTCAACAATTATGTCACTAACAAGTCCAACAGCTTCCCCAGTGGAATCATCGGCCGCATCCCAGCCCACGACCCTGACCTCTCGGACAGCCTCAACTACAGCTTTGTGCAAGGCAATGAGCTCCGACTGCTCCTGCTTGACCCTGCCACAGGCGAACTGCAGCTCAGCCGAGACCTCGACAACAACCGGCCACTAGAGGCGCTGATGGAGGTGGTTGTGTCGGGTGAGTGGCTTTGTGGGGACCTACAGAGGCCCTGCCAGGCATGCCAGGGTGCATGGGAGCCGGGGCGCTCCCTAGCCTGAGGCCAGGACATTGGGAGAGGCCCAAGCTCCTTCCTCAGCATGTTGGCTGGGAGCAGGCCTGGGCTTTTTCAAGTTCAAGGCCACAGGTCCTTGGCACTCTTCTCAGTGGGCCAGTGGCCCCGGCATCCTGCTATTAAAACTCCATCTGTGGGGTGGTGTGGGCCGTCTGGTTTACCTGGCGAGGCTCTGTAGCCAGCCACACGGCCGTCTGGGAAGATCAAAGGTCACTGCCCACCGCATGTGCCAATTAGTGCTCGGGTGGGACCGTTGGGAATCATCACCTAGGTCCCTGAGTCACCCCATAATGCTGCTGTGGCTCCTAGGCGCTCCCTAGGTCTCGCTTTTCTGTCTCCTCCAGTTCATTAACAATCAGGCTTTCGTGTGCTGACTGTCTGTGAAAATTGGAGCCTCATTTCATCTTGACTTTGGCTCCTGGACATGGCCTTATAATTTGGTTGTTACTTAAGAGTCCAGCCCAGGTTGGCAGTGGTGGAGCTCCTGTGGGAAGCCTGCTCCCCCAGACCTGGGGCTAGAAGGGAGCAGACCAGGAGGAGAACTCACCTGCAGTCATCCAAGCGCTTGGAGGCAAAGTGTGGTCCCCATGCTACTGAGCCCCTGTGGGCCCTGCGATGTTGAGGCGGGCAGGGGGTGGGGGGGGCAATTAGAGAGGGGGGATTGTGAGGTATGAAAGAAAGAGAAGGATTTTGAGGTGCATTAAAGAGACCCCCAGCTCTTCCACCCAGGGGTTTGAGCAGCTAGTTACTCATGAGACCAGAGCAAGTTCTCAAGTGAGTTCTCCTTTCCTTTTGAACATTTGACTGGTTTGGTGCACATTTACAAAGCAGTTCATTTCCCATTCAACACTGTGCATTTTGTTTTGTGACATTAGTTGTAATGTCTTCAAAGCAACAGCACTCTTCCCACGTCCTCCCTGGTCTCTCTCTTCATTCATCCATCTTTCCTGCCCCTTCTTGCTTTCTGTACTGGCCCTTGGAGCAAATGCTACCCTTCTGGTCTCGCAGGATGAATTGATCATGTTGTAGATCTGTCTGTCATTTGGTTGAAAGGTGGTTTCTGGGAGTAGGTTCAGTTGCATGTTTGAAGGGTGTCTAAGGCCACAATTTCAGGGGCTCCACACATGAAGAAGTCAGAACAGCAGGTAGCTGTAATCGGGCACCATCTAGTTCTTCTGGTCTCAGACTAGCGGAGGCTCTTTGGGCCTCATTGTTTCATTGGATGTTTGAGTTTTCGTCACTCTTCTTTGCTCTGGACAGGAAGGGAACAGTATCTTAGATGGCATCTTGCAAGCTTTTAAGATTCCTGTGGCTCCTACCAAAGTAGGGTGTGGAACAGTCTTTTTATCTTATGCTAATTGACCTGGATGGCCCCTAAGACGATGGTTCTGATCAGATGGGTTCTTCATACAAGAAATGATGGTTATACAGGTAGACTCCGGATTAGAACTCTGATTTATGTAAAGCCCTAGTTACAAATCAACTCCTATAAAGTCTATTATTATATTAAAACTTCAAAGTGTGTACAATAATTCATGGTAACAAATAAGTGCTACTTTGTGATTACATGAAAGCATTATTATTATTATTACTGTGTTGTTTTGTTAGAGATGTTTTTGTGTGTCTGAAAGTATTTCTTTAATTTTTTAATACATCCAAATGTACACTATATACTGAGACAAACATTGGACTAACCGATGTTGGATATGAAGCATCCCTAACTGTTCCAATTTATGTGCAAGTTCACATTGAGACTACCTGCACTCCATCTTCCGGAGAATCCAGGAAGAATTGCAAAGTTCCTTTTTCTGAATGACTTTGTTTCCATCACTATGTGAAATTCCTTCCTTACTAAAGGGCTGGGTAGCAGACAGGTTCCAGTTAGGGTTGTTTGTTTGTAGGATCAGGAACTTTTACATCCTGTTTGGAGGTGTTGCAATATGTCAACGTAGGTTTTGGCAGCATTGTCTATTTGCAGGTGAATATTTTAGGTGTTGGGACTGAGCAAGCCCTTAGAGGTGAGATCCTTACGAGTGTTTTTGACTACTCAGCAAAATGTCATAGGAAATGTGAAAGTTACTGATGGTGCAAAAAAAGGGTTCTAGCCTAAATTCCTGCTTTTTCTTACCTTTTTAAAAAGATTTCAGCAGCACTCTTGTCTTTCACTTGATAAAACTTAGGGAGGGGGAGTTTGGGCCAGTGTAAGAATGACTTATGAAAGAAAAGGGTTTTGATTTTTTATGTGGATTTATGTGGACACGATGCTGTTCATGAGGATGGGCCCGTCCCAGGAACGGGGAAGTTTTGTGTGTTTTGAGCATGAGGAATGTGACACCCTTCCTGGTGGGCTCACAGCAGGGACCACAGTCAATGCAGGGTCAGGGGTTCCTGGCTCTGCCTCCTTTGCTGACACATTTGCATTGAAACCAGGCACTGCCCACCCCCACACCCTCATTCCCCAAGATAATAACAGTGGCCTTTTCCTGGGCTCTTATTGGGTAGCAAGCAGTTTTCGACCCTGCCGTTTTGACCCTGTCGTTGACCCTCTGGTAATGGTCAGGAGAGTGGGGATCTCCTGCTAATACCCATTTCACAGATGATGAAACTGTGGCTCAGTGGCTTTCTCAGCACCATCCAGCCAGTGAGCAGGGAAACCAGGCATCATACCACCAGATGACAAATTCCTGCCCATCAGACCGCCCTCTCTTACTGAAGAGAACATGTTGAGCTCAGTTATCCCAGAGGCTGGTGAGTCTCCTGGGTTACACTGGCACCTTGGAAAGCCTACTTCTCTTAGACCTTTTGGCTACTGTTGAATGCCCTGAAGTCGTAAATCACTACAGACTATAAAATCTATAGTTCCCAACACCAAAGCTCTTTGCCAAAACAAAACAAGAGCTCAGCCCTCCACTTAGGAGGCTTGGGCTGTCCGGTTTTATGAAGGAACAATGGGGGAAGCCATTGTTTCAAATTTAGACGTGGTTGTTTATAGCCATACCCTAAAGCCTTTAATGCAGTATTCCGGCCCTAGAGGTGCTGAAAGGAAGACTGTAGACTAGGTTTTATGGGAGTGATGCCAGGAAAGGCTGCGTGCTTCTCTAGTTGGGGACTCAGCTGAGGAGGGTGCACCTGCAAGCAGTATACCTAGAGGCTTTGCACCTGGGGAAGCTCTAGCTGGGGTTTGGATGCACCTAGGTACAGTACACTGGGGAGTGGTGTATTTGAGGGTGGTGCACCTGGGTTGGGTGTACCTGGGGGCTGTATGCCTGAGTGTGGTTACCTGAAGGTGATGTACCTGGGGGAGGTATACTTGGAGCATATTACCTGGGTGATGGTGGTGGTGTGCCGTGGAGTCGGTTCCGACTCATAGCAACCTTGTACAGGGTTTCCGAGGCTATAAATCGCTCATCTTTCTGCTGTGGAATGGCTGGTAATTTCAAACTGCTGACCTTGAGGTTAGCAGCCCGATTCATAACCACTCTTCTACCAGAGCTCCTTATTACCTGTGTCAGATGCACCTAGTATCACAGTGGATTATGAGCCGGGCTGCTAAGCATAAGGTAAATAGTTCAAATCTACCTTGGGAGAAAGAGGAGGCTTTCTGCTCCCGTAAAGATTTAGAGCCTCGGAAACCCTATAAGGGTTTGAGTCAGAACTGACTTGATGGCACAAAACCGACCAGTCATTACTAGGATGCACCTGGGAGCAATGCACCTAGGGGCAGCCACTTGGGGTAATGTGCCTGAGGGAGGTACACTTGGGGGCACTTTGCCTGGGGAGGGTGACCCCGGGGGGTGGGGTAGAGGGGCTGGACCTAAGGTACACATGCCTAAGGTGGGCAGTTCCCTTCTGGGACCTGGGATTTCAGCACCATCCCTTTGACTAGAGAAGATTGTATTGCTATTAAGTGCTGTTGAGTTGGTTCCGACTCATCGCGACCCCGTATAGAGTTTCCAAGGTGCTTCTGGTGGGTTTGAACTGCTGACCTTGTAGTTCACAGTCCAGTGCTGATTCTATAACGCCATACCAACTTCTGGTGAGAAGGGAGTGTTGATGTTTCTCTGTAGCCACCAAGTACGGAAGACCATTTGGAAATGTCTTGAGGTGTGAATGTTGCTGAAGACAAGTAGCTGCCATCTTGGGATCCCTGTGCTGGGAAACATTCATGTGCTACTCAGTCGCCATTGTTGTTGTTGTTAGGTGCCATCGAGTCGGTACCGACTCATAGCGACCCTATGCACAACAGAATGAAACACTGCCCGGTCCTGGGGTTTAAAGTTCTGCAGTAGGAACTTAGTTTGCTGAATGTTTCTAGAAGTTGTGGTAGCTTTTCCTTAAGCAGCCTGGGTAGTAGCCACGTGGGGGCCACCAACCCAGCAGTACGGAGATTGGCGTTCAGCCAGTGCTCGGCCATCTGGACCCGTGTGTAACGTGTGTGTGCCTGTGAGTTCAGGCCTCAGATCTGCAGGTGTGGGGAGGGGGCAAAAATGACTGTCTGGTGAGTCATTCTGGCATGTCAGAAAATGGCGAGACTCGGAAAAGGACATGGTTGAGTAAGCTTTTCACCATTTACTTTGGTGTGGAGTGGAGGGGAGGAGGTTGGCGAGGCTTGGGAAGTCTCTAGAAGTGTTTATCTTGCTTGGTCCACCCAGGACAACACAGCGAGCGGTCTTTCACTAGAAGAGCAGCAACGAGGCAGTGAGAAACAGGGTCTTGTTCCAGGTGTTTCTGGGACTCAGTGTAGACAAGGATCTGGGGCCCTTAAATCCTCCCTGATGGGGCTGGCTTCTCCCCGACTCTGGAAGTGAGTTAACCATTTAAGGGCATAGATAACCCTGGGTACAGTTCCTGTTAAGTGCAGTCGAGTCAGTTTCAACTCATAGCAACCCTGTATAGGGTTTCCAAG